TTCTAGAGTTCATTTTTTATTGTTTAAATTTTACATTTCCTATACTTCAACATTACTATTGTCTTTCATTTCACTGATAACCCAATGATACAAAACCATTTTGTAATTAAAGTTAATGAAGCTTAAGTAAGTTTCAAAAAGTGTTCGAACCTTTTAAAAAATGTTTAAGTTATTTAAAGTATAGCCAGACATTTTTTTTATTACGACTGTTGGGTCCTGGTGGATTTTTCAAATTAAAAAACTACTAACTTAACTAACTTGTTTTCGACTTATATTTTTCTATTTGCGGATAATATTAATAGTTGTTCCCGAGAACATAATAAACATCGATTCTGGCTTGAATCTGAACAATTTACAAAATTTAGCGCCAATTTTAAATTTAAATTTTCTTTTAAATAAGCAATAACATGCATAAGCCTTTAATTTTTATTAATTAGCAATTAATTTATTTATATAATTAGTAAGTAATTAGGTTACTTATACGATTGGTCCTGTCAATACTAAAACAGCAAATTATTTTTGGATTGAAGCTGGTCATTTCTTTAATTATCTAGAAATAAAAGTCTTTAAAAAGTCCGCTTAAGATAAAAACAGTTTTTTTTTCAGTTCCTAAACAAAAGTATGATGACCGACCGAATTAGACGTTTTGTATGTTGAATTCCCTTGCTAAATCATGGTTTAGTAAGAGTAAAATAGCAGTAAACAGTAGGTAAAATAGCACGTGAATTCTTGTGAATTGTTAGCTTGTAAATTCTTCTTTCTGCTTGTGATTTGTGACCTACAATTATTTCTAGCCTTTATTCATTCATTCTAATCCATCATTTCTTTATAATTTATGCAACTTTTGTACTGATATCAATATATTTCAGATTATTCCAGGCAATGATAAATTGTTCCCTTGATTTCAATCATCATTCTTTCTCTGTCACGTCTCTTCAGTAGCTTTTCCATCAGATCTGCTTCACTTCTGACGAACGGCAAGTGAAAATTAATTGCCAACTGTCAACAACTGCGATAACATTTATATAATTACATTAAATCTGCAATACATGGAAAGACAGTTTATTTAGAATGAAAAGTATTTCCGCTCCCAACAGGTTTATAAACGATTTGATTCATCAGAGTAGTTCGGCATCGATAATTTTTTAATAAATCCTTGCCAATGTTCCCAGGATGAATAAGGCTTATTTATACGATTAATATGTAAATTTGGAATTAGTTTAATGGTTGTTTATATATGGGGAGCAAATGTTGCTGAAACCGGTTTTTCTTAAATCGATACAGTTTGTTGAGTTTATAGATGGCAATCGACATTATAGCTACCCTCGTGCGAACTGCTTATTATAATTCAACTAAAACTGATAATTATTATTGCATTGTTTAGAGAATTGCATTCAAAACACTCAACCGATACTTGATGCTCCTGCATCAAATTAATTCTGCATGCCTTCTAAGTAATTATCGAGAAGGTTGAACTCAATTGAGCATGACTTTTCTATTGTGAATTAATCCCAGTCTATAGTAAATTGATTAAAGGATCTTAACGATTTTTTTTTACAGTAGCTACCTTGAATTTTTTCATTTTATAATTTTTTATAGTGGGCAAAGTTTCTTCCCTTGATATCTTATTTGTTATCTGAGAGAGCTGAAAACCTTAAAATCATGTTCATTTCACTGTACAATTTCTGTTGTAAATGTTCTTAATGTGCATAGAGCTGATAATTTTTTTGAAGGTTTGCTTATGCAATGAAAAGTAATTACTATAGGCAATTAATGTAACCTTCTTATCGCAGTTCTACAAGCAAAGTTTGCAGTTTTTAAACGTATGTTAAATCATGATCATGAAATGGAAGTTACGAAGTATGGAAGTTGAAAATGCAGTTACCTAGAGAAATGTTTTATATTTCTTTTCACCACATATTGAAAAATTGTAAGGGAAAGTTTTCCTTAGAGGCTGACACTGTTATCAAGTATCACAGACATATATCGCTGACTTCGAACGCTTTAAATCAAATAACTCAATTTTAGGAAGATCTTCTAAGAGTGGGTTGTAAAAATAGTTTCTAAAAAATAGTTTTCAAAAAACGTAATTTTGTGCACGTTCTCGACACTAGCGCACTTAGTTATTGAAAATAGTCTTTAGAGATTAAGAAAATTAAAGCAAATACATATACGGGGTGTCAATTTGAAAACTTTCCACCCTTGATATCTTGATATCTGTGTTAGGTTTGTTTGTTACACCGTCCCTAACATTTCGGAAAACCTCACCGGGAATTGACCGGCATTCTGCTGCAATTCGCCTTTTAAGATCATCAATATCAGCAGGTTGTGTTTTAAGGACAGGTTTAAGTTTTTAAGTTTTAAGGTTTAATGTTTTTTAAGTTCAATTGACTTAAGATGTCCCCAAAGAAAGAAGTCTAAGGGTGTCCAATCTGGTGATCTTGGAAGCCATTCAATTGATCCCCTTCTGCCAATTGATCTATCCGTGAATATCTTATCAATGTTAGGGAGGGTTCGAAAATAGACTTTATTATTGCTTACAGGAAAATAGACAACATTTTGAGCAACTTATAAGACAGTGCGCAAGTAGATCCCATGGGTCTTATTGTAGAAATTTATCTGCCGTAAATAAAAAGTGATTTTTCTCAAAGTACAATAAGCAATAAATCCGAAATCAATTGTGATCTAGTTTTGGGAAGTTTTCATATTAACACCCGGTATATAAATGAAGATGAAAATGTTAATTTTTGAATATTTAATAGAAAGCACGCGAAGAAGTTCAGTATTTTCACAATTTTTGTTATGTCGCTGAGCAAAAAGATAAATTCTAACATGAAGCAATTAAAGGCCAAAACATTGTTTTTTATTTTCTTTTATCAAAATGGGTAGCAGGACACAAAGAACGAAATGTAAACGTTGGGAAACGTATTTTCAGTTTTGTAATGGTAAATACAAGGTGGTAAAACCAAAATTCTGATATTATTTGAATATCTAAAGGAACTTCATCCACTATTTTCTCTAAATGGTCAATGCTAAGACGAATCGACCGAAGAACTGATTGCGGAAATGCCCGCATCATGTAAATCAAAGTTAAATTTGTGCTCTTGAAAATGGAAATTTTTCTCGGACCATCAAGTATTATTGTGACAATTGTTAACTCCTTCTCGAGCAAACTGAGCTTCTCCCATAAATAAACTGCATCTAAGCAATTGTCTGTTTTCCCGAATCCATTGACAAAATTGTTAAAGGAAAATTGCCTGCTTGGAGATTTTGTACTTGTTGCACATGACAAGCCTGAAAAGTTTGTTGTCGCATTGTTCGCCAAACTGTTGTTTTGGGGAAGTTGGAAATCGATTGCTAAACGACTCGTTACTTATGTTATTCCCTGCAACGTCTTGAATAGATATTCACGTTCAGATGAAAAGTTTCTATTCAGTAGAGTAGTAAGTAAATTACTGTTTAAATTGCCTGCAGGTTTTACTTAAAAATTTTCATTTTTTGAATTGTAAATGCTAATTGAATTCATATTTATCTTTTGTCGCTTCATATCCTTAAAGAGAATCAAGATGATTCAATTCAATTGAACAAAAAAACGAATCAGGTACTGTTTACACAATTTTAAGGAGAATTTCTTAGTTACGTTTTTTACCTTTCTCGTCCCTGCTTGATTGGATCGTTTTAAAAGCCGGTAGTAAAATCAGATTTTTTTGCAAATTTGAAAGCGTTACAAACAGTAAATTATGGGTTTCATTAGTAGAGACTTTTTTATAGGCGCAAATTCAACTTGCAAATTTTAGTAACCAGAAGTTACGCAAAGAATTAATTGAATGCAACAAATCACAGCTAATTTTCGCTTATCCAATCTAAGTAGTACTTACTGCAATTGAATTTTGAAAACATCTGAAACTCTTAATTTGATCAGTTGGAAATGATCCATGCTATCAAATTCATTATATGCTTTTTGCCACTTCGGAGCACGAAGGCGATCTAAGAAGATTTGAAGAATGATGATGACCCGAGTGTTAAATTTCATATCCCCATAACGTCAACGCAATACGGGTAGACTAGAAATAATGATGTTATTTTTATCACTCGATTTTCTTTTGCAAATTCTAACACAGTTAAAATAATTGCATTTAATGAAACACTAGACGAAACTCGAATCAAAACGCATCGCAATATTCAGGACGAATAAAATATTCTTGAACAAGAATACCTTTCCTGGAAAAAATAATTGAGACTAACACGGAATCAATTGAATGGAAACATATCTGGTACTGAATTTGCTTTATTCGCAAGTGCGTTATTCAAATCCCCAAGTTCACCTTTCACATTCTATAATATTCCTAATACATTTTTGCTTTGATCAATCGAGTTTTTCTCGGTATGTCTTTAGAAAACTTTCGTACTTCTGTAGCTCGTTTTGGCACCAACAACCAATAGCATTTTAAGCGTATTTCTCATTAATATGCTTACCATTTTGAGGAAGCAATTTATCTTGCGTGTGAATGATACGTTCTAGTGATGCCTGATGAACAATGTTAAACATCTTCTCTCAAAACTCCAAAGTTTCTTACGCTCTATAGAGCACATTCATTTCCATTGAGATTCCGCACGTGAAAAACTAGTGGACGCGCGAAATCTTCAACTTCACAACAAAGCTCCAATTAACTTTAATTAGCTTTCAATTATGGCCGTCTTGGGTAGATCGGTGGGCTAAATTTGGATAGTCTGATTCAAAATGTAGTTTTTTTGAAGCTTTAAAGGGCAAAATTTTAAATTTCTCATGGGCGCAACTTAGTGGTGCCGAATGATCATATTTGAATTTCCTCTACCCGCACCTGCCCGGTGCCGGTTCCTAAGCAGGACACCCAGGAATATTAATATCGTTTTAGGCAGTTAAAATGCCTCGGCATTTCAAGTGCTTCAACCTTTCAAGGAATAATATCCTTCGTTTCACAGAACTGACACGAATAAATTATACATTCCAATCAACTCACCGGTATCAACAACAGGTTTATAATCCAGGATGAGTCAAATTTGAACCACTTTGCACCAAATAAACACAATGTAATGTACCTGAGGGACCGTTACACTTTAATATTCCACTCGAAGCGAAAGGACCTGAACAAAAACCGAAAATGTAATTATTTGATACATTCCTTTGGACAAAACAAAGGTGCACCTCACTGGTTATAGTTGCTTGAAAATAGCACCTGGCGTGTGTTGGGTATACAAGAGGTATCCGAAGACATCGTCGAGAGGAATCGTACCAACTCGGCTGAGCAGCAAAAGGAAATGGTTCGAGGTGAGCGCAATTAAGGACTGTAATGAATGTATAGAGATTTCTTCGAGCGATGGGAAAGGTAACTTCTTCATTAATGGTTTCTAGGGGGACAATGAACCTTTGAAAGGGAATTATAGAATAATAAAAATTCCAACTTTGTGCAGACTTAAAAACGGTAACAACACTAAATACATTTTTTGCATTTGGAATAATCAACTGCGGTAATTTTTAGCAAACTTCCAAAATATCTGTTTTGAAAATTTAACAGTTTTTTAAAATTATGCAATGAATCATTGCATTCAAAGCTCGAATACCTTTGAGCAAATTTTGAAAAATAAACATCAATTTGCAAACAAAAAATTCCAGTTATTCGGAGGCAAATTTAAACATTTGAAATTGCAATGTCAAATTGGCGAACATTTTCATTAAACTGCAATTATTTGCTCTACTCAGTGCACAATTTGATGTCATTTGGATTGCAATCGAACTGAAATAATTGCCATGTGAAGTTGGAATCCCGAAATTTATTTGAATAATATTTGCATAGAATTCTGTAAAAATTAATTTACAAACACTTTAGTTCTGGTTTTAGGCGGTGATGTAAACATTCCTTTGTTAGGAGAAAAATTAATAAATGTTTCAACTACAGAAATATTTTCGGTTGCTTTTCGAAACTTTTGGGTCGAGTGTTTTGTCCCAAAATTCTGTCTTTTAAGAACGATATATTTTTCTCAAGGCTTTTACCAAGGACCGATAAAGAGTGTAATTAGTTACTGCTCTATGAAGACAACATTTTTTCGAGGAAGTTGGATAACTATTGAAATTCAAAAATTCTTTTATGAATTGTTTTTCATTGACGAAATTGGATGTATTAGACATTATATTTGCTCGATCAAATAAAGCCTTTCTTCACCATTATTTGGTGGTCTAAGTTAAGATTTAAATACCGTATGAGTAGATTTTTTATCTACCGAAGTTCCAAAATTGTCAAACTTTTTTAAATTCGTATATCGAGAAATGAGATTTGCCTCTAGGGTTCTTTTTCAATAGTAGATATAATTGTTGGTTCAATATTGATAAGATATGATCAAAGGCCATTAGTCAAGTTTTTGTTACCTATGACTATAAATTGAAAATACATCATCAATATATCGCCACCAAATAATTGGTTTAAACTTGTATATAGTTATGAAATTTTTGAGTTTGCATAAATATTTTACTTTGAAAATATTGGAAAAAGGGATACCGCACCACGATTTCAAGATTATATTAATTAAAATTACCATTATATTGTACTTAATTGTGTGCTTTTCTTAATATTGACGTTATTTTGTAATTTTTTTTTGACTAACAATATCAAAACTTACCAGCAAATGATTTGAATTTATGTCTGTGACATTTTTCTAAAAAATGCGCTGAATTTTTAATAAGGGAAGCTGTCTTTTTATTAGGGGATTTAAAATATTTAAAAGAGTTTTGCCTACAGAATATGTACGTGAATGCAAACATTATCTCCTTTCAATTTAATTACCTTCTTCGTAAAGAAATAGTAATTTTTTTTACTCTGTTAAAATGTGGTGTTTTCCTATTGTTAGTGTCAATTTCCACCCATCGAAATCGTTTCAACTTTTCATAACAATTTTAATACTGAAATACAACCTCAGGCACCTCCAGGACCGGTTTCGATCCTATTAGCTCTCATCAGCTGGGATTAGTCTGAACGTAACACTTTCTTGGCAAACTTGACCATTGCAAACAAGGCCTTTAGGCTCTAGTGCTGGTTCATGATAGAGCCTTATAAAATTATTTATTTTTTATATTTAAGGTTTCTGTATTGGTTTTTTCGTGCAGCATTCAGCTTTTTCTCCAATGTATGATTCAACTCCTATGTATGATGGTGATGGACATAGAGTAATGTTTCCTTAAATTCCTTGCGCCTCTTGTTTATTTGAATTTTCTGCTGGAAAAGTTAAAATGATCTGAGGCACAGCCGATTTATTTCCCTTATCCGTTTGGAAATCCATAAATTATACGCAATTCGAGTAGATATTTGCATTAAAACTCTGTCTCACTCGTTTGAGAATGTTATAAATATTCCCGCTAGTCGAAATTTGCTCTTTGAAATTACTAATAATTATTCCTACCAAACAGATCTATCGATTTATTGTAGAGCAAGCATTTCCAGGTCTAAGTAAATTTGTGATAGTAAATGGCAAATAGTAGATTTGTTCTTCCTTTTTAAACAGGAACAAAGACCGGACAATTGAGATCGGCAAATTTGCACTTTGGATTTTCGGCTGCAGTAGAAATATTAATCAACAATTCGCTCTCATTTCTAGTTAATAGTTCAATTATATGCCTTAACAATGTAAAATTGACATTTGCTTGCTGAAAATAAAGCGAAGAACTCATTTTTGGCCAGGTGTGTTTTGCAAATATTACTTGACACACCCCGTACCTGAAGAATACAATAAGGTCATAAAATTTTACATAACAATGGCTTGGGAGAAGTCGAAATGCTCGTCGGAGGTGAAGGTTTTGCCATACTATGCAAACTTTATAAATTATGTAGTGTTATTAGCTGGAAACGGATATGTAAAGCACAATAAAAATTTGTTTACAGGGTGATTTTGTGCAAATGTAAATGTTTTGTTTGTCATTTTATTCATCACTGTAGCATCAAAATATTTGCGGCCATGAAAGAGCATGAAATTGGAATGGACAAATTCCTAGAATAAAATTACTTATTGCACTTTACCCCATGTCGAGGCTTCCGCCCTTTTCCTTTCATCTTGTGAACATAAGATAGTCATGTTTGTTGAAGTTTATGACAATATACAAACAGAATTCGAGAAAATTTTATCCGACTATGTTCGTTTGCTTTATTGCGATGGGCGATGGATCAAAATCTACCCAGAAAATGCATTTGGAATTATAGTAGGTTGCTTTACTATAAATACTCTATGAATAAACTGTAGACATTTTAGGAAGTAAAGTTCTTTGCATGCATGTACATTTACGGTATCAAAGAAGTAAAACTATTTTTTTCATATTTTCAACCTTGAAAACATAATTTTTAGTGACTTTACGACGTTACTTTTACCTATGTTAGTTGACCTCGAACATGCTTATAAGTTTAAATTCGCACAAAATCTGATGTCTGAACTTGGAAATTTTAAAAATGCTTTTTTTTCTACAATGTCTATATTTTTTCATAAATTGGACGCATAAAATATGGTAAATCTGAATACATTTCCATTTGGATCAAATTACAAAATATTTTAATTTTTGAAAAGTCTTAGTGCCTAAATCTTAGCTATTTGAGTTTAATCGTTTTCCAGCAACATATTGATTACGGTAGTCTTCTATTGCATACAAGTAGAAATAAATCAATCTAAATTTGTACCTAAATCTACATCACATTTTCTTAACCCCGGACTTTTCATCGATTCATGGATTATTTAATCATTTTCTATTTGTATAATTGCAACAAATTCCATTTCCGAAAATTTAGAGCAAGGTTTATTCGAATTTGTGATTGATCCGTTTATCAGCAAATCAGCCTCAATGATAATAACTTGTTAATCTGCGTTCTTGTAACTGATCGCGTGTTTGCCTAAATTTTTGACATAATAAATTTAGCAAAGTAAAATAATCAAAAGTACAATAAAAAACTCTAAAATACAGCGAAAGCAATTTTTTAATTCTAAATTTTGGTGAATAAGACTGATCAAAATATGATACTGGGTTTCAATAAAAATATTTCGCGCTTTATTTCGAACTATAGTTCTTTTCATGCTTTTAATGCTATTTTACCTTACATTACCTATTGGTGGAATCTCATAATTTAAATAAAATCAGTGATTTCCTATGTTAAAAAACTTCTTTTAGACTAAGCGCTCACTTCAACAAGTCTATATTTTCATATTTTATTAAACTAGAGGGTTTTAAATAGTCTGGATTAATTTTAGGCCAATCATCCTCTAAATGCACCAAAGGAAAAGACGTGAAAGTAGACATAAAAAAGAATCTTAATTTAATGTTATTGTTTCAATGTGTTAAATTATTGTATTATTAGTTGGGAATAGCCAGCGTTTAACAAATTTAGATTTGTAACATCTAATGACTGGATATTGGATTGGATATTGATCTTTTTATGAATATCCGATATTTTATGCGACACGAAACAGAGGCAAATGTTGATTAACACTTTTAGAACCAAAATTAAATAATCCAACAGAAATCTCTAAAACCCGAACTTATGACTTATGAAATTGTTTGAAATGCTAGGGGATAAATTAGCCGATGCATTTGCTAACTAAGAATGTATCATCGAGAATATCCTCAAGAAGAATCGTTGCCTGTAGTGTATTTCTCAGCTTATCCAAGGCTGATTGAACAAAGAGATGCGTATCGAAAAAAAAGCAAATATTAGATTATTGGAGGAGATCGGGAAAATGGAACATTGGTGCATGTTTTTGCCAATGTGTTTGGAATACCGTAGTGTATTTTAATTGATGATTTCAAGTTTGATAAAACCGCATTTACAAGCGATCTAAATTTAATTAGAGAACACAAAACATTAACATTTTAAAAGTGTTTTAATGGATTACAGTTCTAAGACCCCGCTAAGATTGGTACGGTCTTCAATTTCTTCATTTTTATTCATTCACCAATCCATGCTTAGCCAGAATGATTATTAATGAAGCTTTTCATAAAGCAATTTTTCGGGTTTTCTACTGACTTTTTCTTGTTAGAAATTTATTTTCCAATAATCTTATAATTTTTGCTATCTTGAATCCTATAGTGCATCTCAAACAATGAGGTCTATGTCTAGGAACCATAGCAATATCGATCTAAGTAAGCCCTTGCATTTTGATTATCTTTTTAGCTCAATCATTTTCCATAGTTATATCACGATAAAATATTTCCAATCAACTAATTTTTGTCAAAAAATGTTTTGAGCCCTCGGGTGCATTAAGAGCGACGACTAGTGTTTAAAAGACATAATAAAATACATTTTTGTTTTTTAAATTTCAAAGATCCTCTCCGTTCCTAAATTGCGGGAAAAATGATGATTAAAGTATATTATTTATTTAGAGGAAATAAGATACAGAGCTCGCCAAAAATATGCTATGAATGTGTTCACCTATTTAAAAAATCAGAAGGCCCTATCAAATTATGTTGAAAATGACGAACATAAACATTAAAAAATCACCAGAGTAATGTCGAAATATATAGGAAAATGCGGAGCTAATCAATAAACTAATTCGTTATTTGTCTTTAATTTTGAAAGGCTTAAAATATTAACGACAAACTTATGCGATAGCAAGTATAAATAATTTGCCAGTAATTGCAGAAAAATGCAGTCGTTTGACTGAAAAACTTGCAAATATTTCCTGTAAGCACAAGAATTAGCTCTTTTTGTCTCGAAGTTCAAAATTGGTAAATTTAATTATAAACTTACAGAAATTATCTTCAGTGTTGACTGTGCTTTTCTAATTTTCGAAAACATATACGAAATAAGCAATATTTGAGGCAAATGTTCAATCGTTGAGGGAAAGTTGCAAATATTTCAGACCCATATGAAGTACTCAGAAGATAAAGGAACGACACTGATTTACTAAAAACACTAAAAGAATAGAAAGGCAAATCTGAAAGTAATTTTTAAATGAACAAGAAATAAATATATTTTATAAGTTTAAATCCATACTAGGTGGGTAAACTTATCGACTTTTCCGAGTTATATGAGTGTTAGACTTAAACGTAAATGGAAAGTTAGCTACTAACTGTGAGTTTTATCCAACATTTCTCCAACCAAATGAAATATTGGTCGACTAGTCATTTATAAAACTTATTAGTCTGAAATCCCGTTACAATTTATCTAAATGGAAATATATTCTGAGTAGCAACACTGTTCATCTCATTCTTATGTACATATAGATTTCATTCATAATATAAGTGATTACTTGAAAAGTGTTATGTAAATCAATTCAACAACCCTTAGAAAAGCAGAAGCATTGCCCATGCCTACGCATCTACCCAACATAAGGCGCATGACGATACAATTTTCCTGGCCAGCAGGCTGAAATTTCCTCTCAAAACGGCAGTTTTCCGAGGGAACTCGATCCTTTGTCGGTCTGTTTTCTATCATTTTTCAGTAAAATTTCCTTAGCGCTTTGAAGTGGCATGCCTGAGTGTTCTAATGAATGATGTGGGATTTAAATGTAACTTGAGTGATAATTTTTCTGAATAGGTAAAGTGGCTTTTTGTACAACGCTTCTAATTATGTTGTTACTTTTTGTCTGTTTATACAATTTTAAATGAAAAATGGCGCTTCAGTAGTTATTAAGTGCATACGTTAAGCCATCGTCATAAGGTATTACATTGTTCTTCAACTTATTGAAAGGCTAGCGTGTCTGAAATGGGGAGTGAAGGTATTATTGACCCACTATGTCCAAAAACGTGGACTTTACCTGCATCATAAAACGTTTAATTTGTGCTTCAGCGGCTCTATTTTCATGTAATAAATGCAATGATAATAGCGAGAAGCTATACGAAGAAATAATTCGATTGGATTGAAAATGTGCAAATTCCATATCTCCGTATTAATTGGTAAATGTTAAAGAGGTCTAGTTCGTGTGCTGAGTTCATAGTAATTTTCAAAACTCAGTTGAGCATAATACAACATTTTATAGCAGTGAATAAATAACAATAAAATTGAATGTTGCAGCCCAGAACTACAGTGTATCCATTCCAAACAATTCAACCTATTCAAGTTGAAATATCATATATTCAGATTGGGAATAATTCCTGCATTTCCCAGAATATACGCCCTCTGTTATATTCATAACCACCATTAATATAATTCAGGTTTGTAAAGTGCCTGTGGTCTTTTTTAGATATTTTTAGTTTAATTTGCGGCAATAATAACAAAATATTTTCCATGCATCTAAATATTGGAGAAACGGCAGAATGTAAAAGCTGAAAAGTACATCTGGGGACGGTTATAAAGAATGTTCTCCCGTCCTGCAATCTCGGTTATATCATGGAACGTTGTGACTGTAATATAGGTATGAATGGAAAGCACAAACACAATGGAATAACACAGCTCATGTGATTGAAAGTTTTCTAAATTTTGCACACAAATTGAAAGGACCAGGGAAGTTGGAAATGCCGAACGAAATTAACTCCAAACAAAGTGTAAAGTTTGACGGAAAATGTTCAAAATGGTTTACGCATAAAAAGTAGGAAAATATAAAGAATTTGTGAAAGTGTCCGATTTTATTCAAAAATTAATTTTTTTGAAATTTTTGAATATTGAAATTTGAAATAAAAAAAAAATTGACACAAAAACAGGTATATGGGACTATAATTCCATAATTTATAAACGTAAAAGAAGTAGGGAACTAATTAGTCTCTTATATTCTTGCTGTTTTCTGTCCAATTTCAAGTTTATAAATGCGTCATTTGCGACTGCTTAAGGAAAACTGTAGATGAAGATTACAATACTTGCGAGGCGAAAGAAGGCGAAAGAAAATTGAACAAAACAAGGATATTTAAAAACCAATAAAAAATCAAAGATCTGCACATGTTTCTTTGCGGGAAGTTGTTAATAAAATTTTAGGACAATTCTTTTAGAATGTTCCACTAGGGGAAATTGAGTTATTTTCTCTTTTAATATATATACAATATATAACATCTTTATTTCCTTCGAAAAGGGCTATCAACCACCTGGTCTTTCTGCCCTTTCCCTTTTAATAAAGGGTGGACAAATTAATTGACCGCATGGTTTAATTAAATAACACTAATACAATAAATATACTGATCCCTTCAACCCCTAGGCTGTTTGCAAGAAACGACAACAAAATTGTATTAATACCTACATGTTTCTACGCTGGAAGCTAATAATAATATTTGAGGACATTAATTTTAGAATTTTCCACTAGAGAAAAGTAAGTTATTTTCGCTTTTCGTAAAGGGCGGAAAGATTCATTGATCGTGTGGTTTGATTATATGAGGCTAATATAATAAATAATAAATATACTGACCTTTCAACCCCTGGGGTCTTTCCAGGCAACAAGAAAATTGTATTAATATCTTATTATATGAGCAATTAATTATTGCGCTTATTACTAAATGATAGTATTTCAAAATCCTTATTTAATAAAATTGCTAAACGAATGTTTCCAATTCTAAAGCTCTCTAAAGAGTTTGAGATAATTTTAAAGAATTTGTTGTTGTTAAAAGTTAAAAGCGGCATATGAAAGAAATAAACTCAATTTTAATGGAAACATTTCTTTTAAAAGATCGTTAAATTCTTGTAATAGTTAATTAATTAGTATGAGATGATTTTATTTGATGTGTGTATTTTGATAATGTTTGTCCTTAATTTATTCCACGACGTTTAAAAGTTGTTAGCTAGTTAAGTTTGTTAAAAACAGTATGAAACATTATGAAAAAATTGTTGTTGTCTACAGATGGAAAAACTCGAAATTCCATTTTAAAATTGAATTAATTTAGTTTTTGAAACTAATACTAGAAAACTTGTGAAATTGTATTTTGATAAAATCAACCACTACTTTTTAATTTTGTTTAATTATTTGCGTAAAAAATCGCTTCTTGCCTGTTTTTGTCAATTCGTAATGTCGGTAAACACCTGTTATCGTCGATAACTGGAATAAGGCCAAATTTTATTTTAAATCCCGATTCATTTTTTTCGTGAAACAAAGACGCTATTTGAAATTAAAATAATTATAATCACCTGAAARCATCTGACTGTAAAACTCTGTTTTTCAACATCAGTTTAGTTTGATGACAAAGTTTGTTTTTGTAATTTTAGAATATAATTACCTAAGTATAAAAGTAGCATACATAGAATTAAATATATATATATATACAAACATAAAAATATATTTTATGATTATTTATACATACATTGGACATAGACTGGACGATTTAAAAAAGTATGCTGTTGTTATGAGAAAACTCAAGAAAATACAAACATCAAACTTTAAAACAGTTCAGGTTCAGATATTGCCTGCAACATACTGCAATTTTGTATCACTTAAACGATCTACCTTGTACCGTTTTATTAAATAAATATTATGTGACAGATAAATGCACGAACCAAGAATATAAGAATATAACGAGAGGGATATGAAACCTTTTGGGAGTCGTAAAGCAAAGGTTCATGAGCGGGCTAACGGCTAAAAGGTCGATGTTGGTAAATAATAAATTTGCACTTCGTTTGGATATCGATTTTACACAAGAACAGAACCCATATACTATAAATGGAAAATAAATTTGAGTAAACCATCATTTTATCTGGTATTAACTTCAGTTATTTTTAATTATATTTACATAAACAATCTTCATTCCTTAAGAAACCGGCTATCTACTAAATCGGTCTTTATGCTCTAAATGTCTTTATACTCGATATAGATCTTAGGGCTATTTGTTCAGTTATTTGTGCGTGTTATTTTGTTTTATTGGATGCAGTTGTTCGCAGTATGTGTTCGTAATCCAGCAGAGATTTACTTGTCCATTTTTGTGGCAGTTTTTGCGCTAATTTCTTTGTCTTTGCAATTTGTTGTAATCGGAATTTATGTTTTAGGTCTAGTACTATTCCTAGGTATGATTGTAATTAAAAATTTAAATTAAAAAATTAAATATTTTGGGGTGTTGAGTAGGTAGTTTGTATAACAGTTCTTTAAACCCTACTCTCTCCTTAAATCGGCTTTATCGATGTTCTTGGCGAAGGCATGCGGTGGGATCGTTTTTGTGGTGTTGTTTGTTTGTTACTAGTTAGTACAAATGTGAGTGTATAATTGAGTGTTTAAAACCGAATTAGTATGAGAATATGCATTTTCTGATTGTTGTAACTTTTCAATTACCTTGTGGGAAAACTATAGACGAACCACCTATTTAGATTGTCCAAGTCCAACGAAACTTATTTAGGAAAGAGCATTTTGTATGTTTTACTTTTACATAAATTTAAAATGCTTTTCTTTGCCTTTAGTTGACATTATGGTTTAATTTCAGATTTTCCCACACAAACTGTTCTCTTTTAGGATATCGAAAACCGCTCACTTTCTTCAAAATCACAGACAATATCAGATTACTTGTCACTAGCGTTCCATAATCGTATCCTCTGAACATAACACTTTTGGAGAACAACAACAGGAAAATCAGTAATCCATCAATTCCCGAAAGCCTTTAATGTATAAAAGTATGTCGCTTTATATAGGGTGCGCCATCTGAAACGAAACCGAGCCAATTTCCCTCTCTTAATTGAAAAGATAAACAAAAATGTTCGGACACGTCAACATTAGTGTGGTGGAAAGGTTTTCTAATAAATATTTGCGGTGATTTATTTCACCCACTGAGCAGGAGTTAAACCACCCCTAAAATGTTGAATGGGAAGAGTGGTGATACATCAAATTGAAGGTGCTTTAGTGTGATTTATGATGTTACAAAAATGTGCTACATTTTATTCACCAAAAAATGTGAACAAAGGACGCAAAAAATTAAAAGAAAATTCATGGAAAATCACCCAGGAACCCTACATGGACTTACGTTTGTGCAAATAACTCGAAAACGAAGACAGATACAGAAAACTGTAAGAGATCAGAAAATTCTTAAATTGAACAACAAATTCAAACATTTGTTCGGTCGAAGTCAGTGGCGCACCACAGAAAAGTTCGAGAGGGTAAAAGGGGGTATGCCTCTAGAAAAAAGAACATCCCATAAATTTTCCCAATCAGCCGCCTTCCCTACGGGTAAAGGGTCAAAACATTAGCCTACGTAAAATTGAGCAAAATGGACATGGAAAAAAAAACTTAAATCGAAACTAGACTTGTTTTGATGTCTTTTACACGCCCCTGCTCTGTGTCCATAAGGTTGTAAATCACCCTGTATATGATTTTTGGCTTTGAAGAAGTAAGAACCCAACCGATCATGTTGGGAAATTTTATGCAAACCAGACTACATGCTTGTATTTTGACTAAAGTAAAGAATTTTCAACAATTTGTTTAAGTTAAATTTCAGTTCTGTTAGTCTAATTAATTCAACTGGAAATTACTTTAGAACGTTCATGAACAATTGAGTTTAAATTATAACAAAAAATATAAGAGTAATCAGTTTGCACCCGATAAATTTTTGAAGTAAAATCCAACTATGACTTCGATATTTTAATTCAATTCGAGCGATTTGAATTAAAATAACTTTGTGAGAATTCTAAAATGTGCATTAACA